AGTATGTGTTTTCTCTGATGTCTGTTTTCAGAGATGACTAACAACTGTTGTCTGATATATTTCGGTGTTCCTTCGTTTGGTTAATATTTGTTAATGAGTGTTATTTCTTCTTGAAGTATTGTCCCCTTGATCATAATGTAGTGACCGTTGGGGTCTCTTTTTATCTTTTTGAGTTTGAACTCTGTTTTATCTGATATAAGTATAGCTGTTCCTGCTTTCTTTTTTTGGTCCATTTGCTTGTAGGATTGTTTTCCATCCTTTAACTTTGAGTCTATTTTTATCTTTTGTAGCTAAATGTGTTTCCTGGAGACAGCAAAAGGTTGGGTTTTATTTCTTAATCCAGCCTGCGACTCTGTGTCTTTTTATTGAAAAGTTTAGTCCATTTACATTTAGAGTTAATATTGATATGTTAGCATCTGTATTTGCCATTGCGTTTGTCTTTCCTTTGATTTTATTTATTTTAGTAACTTTTTTTTGGCCTTCTTTCATTGTTATTCGTCCCTCTGCGGTTCTGGCTTGAGGATTCCTTGTAGTATTTTTTGGAGTGGGGGTTTAGTCGTAATGAAATTCCAGAGTTTCTCTTTGTCTGGGAAGGTCCTTATTCTTTCTTCATAGAGGAAGGAGAGCTTTGTGGGATAGAGTATTCTTGGTTGGCATCTGTTTTCTTGGAGTCTGTTGACTATGTCCCTCCACTCTCTCCTTGCCCATAGTGTTTCTTTGGAGAAGTCTGATGTCAGCCTGATTGGTTTTCCTTTGAATGTTATCTGTTTCTTCCCTCTTGTCAGCTTCATTATTTTTTCCTTGTCCTGGATTCTAGGGAGCTTTACTATTATGTGTCTTGCTGTATTTTTCCTTTCATCGTGGAAGTTTGGTGTTCTTCTTGCTTCTTGTGTATCAATTTTCAGCTCCTTCTTCACATTTGGGAAGTTCTCTTCAATTATCTCCTTGAATATTTTCTCTGTTCCTACATCTCTCTCCTCTCCTTCTGGTATTCCTATATTTATATTCCTATATTCTTATATTTCCTTTCCTCATGGAGTTAGATAGTTCCCGAAGTCTTTCTTTGGTCTTTTTCCTTCGTACTTCTCTTTCCTTATTTTGGTTATTTTTATTTCTGTGTCCTCAAGAGTACCAATTCATTCTTCCATTTCATCTATTCTGATTTCATTGCTTTTCCCAGTGTTTTTTAGTGCCTCCGTTAATTCTTCGATCTCCTGCATTTCTTTACTTCCTTCTTTCGGGACTCAATTTCATTCTGCTGATTGTTGATTATTTCTCCCTTATCATTGTTTTCCTTTATGAGTTCTGTCACTTTTTTAATCATGGCAATTTTAAATTCTCTTTCTGGAAGGCTCAGAAGTTCTTCCAACTTACTGTCGTTGCAATCTGGGGGGGGTGGTTTTCCTTTTCTGGTGTGCTTTTTTCCTGAGGATTTGCTAGGTTGCGTGTGGTTCTTCTACTCCCTACTGTCTGTTTTCTAATTTGCTGTATGCATTGGGACACTGTGTTGCTGGGACTGGCTGGCATCTTGGGTGAACTTCTCTGCTCCCCTCTGGCTCCTCCAGGAGCCCTCTGTCAGTTTCAAGCAGTCTTTACTGAAGAAAGGTCCCTTTTCTAAAATGCCGATGCAGGGACACACTCCCCTGTGTGCCTGGTCTGCCCCGGCAGTGGGTTCCTGCTCCCTGTCTGGGCTTGGACTGCAGGCCAGAAGGGGCCTGGCATGGGCGAACTTCCCAGCTCACCTCTGGCTCCTGAGGGAGCCTTCTGCTGGTTTCAGGCAGTCTTTACTGAAGAAATGTCCCTGTTCTAAAATGGCAATGCGGGACGCACTCCCTGCATGTCCGATCTCAGACACACTCTTCTGCGTGCCTGGTCTGCCCCGGCCGTGGGTGCCTGCTCCCCCTCTGGGCTCAGACTGCTGGTCGGAATGGGCCTGGCATGGGCTAACTTCCCAGCTCACCACTGGCTCCTCCGGGAGCCTTCTGCTGGTTTCAAGCAGTCTTTACTGAAGAAAGGTCCCTGTTCTATGGAGTGTTGATGATTTTTTTTTTTCTGGTCGCTAGGTGATGCCAGAGATCTCTCCTAGTGTCCTTGGGGAGCTTTTTTTCTACCCCGTGGGACAGGGAACAGAGTGGGAATGGTGGGGAAAGCTTAAACGGCTGTGGGGTGCTGTGTCTGGCTTGTGCCCCACCGTTGTGGGGAACCCACACCCCGAATTTTGTGGCCCGGGTCTCAGTTCCAAAGCCCTCAGGTCCAGGACACGGGCTGTAGCCCAGTTCAGTGTCCGCGGATATGGCGCCTTTTGCACCCTGCTCCTGTGTCCGGGCACCTGGTTTCTGATTACTCAGTAAGGGACTTTCACCTCAGTGAGGGGCCCTGCGCATCTCCCAGCAAGCCTAGGTTGCAGTTGTGGGGACTTGGGCAGCCGCGATCCGCGTTGGCTTTTCAAGCACGACTTTTTTCTGCGTAAGCTTACCGGCTGGCCTAGGGCTGTGTGTAGGTCTCCGGGGATCTTTGTTTTTCTCTAATGGTGACTGGAGCCATTCGCTCACCTTCGCAGCAAATCCTGCAGGGTTCTTCACAGCTCCAGTTCACGGTGTGTGGTGGCTGAAATAGTTCCTTTCCACTCATAGTCCCGCTTGATGTGTAGTTTGTTCTTGTTGGTAGTTTTGTTTTGTTTTTGTTTTGTTTTTTCTTCCTTTCTGTTGGTTGGAGAGTGCTGACTTTGTGGATGGGGGAGTGTAGCAGGGTTCTGAGCTTTCCTCCCTTCTAGTCCTCTTTTATGGCAACTTTCTTCTTCGGGTAGTTTGCTGGAGTCGTCCGTTTATCTTCCGTGTCCCAGTTCTCACTGGGACCTGCCGCTTTCCTCCCTATTAACTTTTTTTTAATGGGAGATCTTACTCGCAGCATTTCCTCGCTGCCATGTTGATCCCAAATTCTACCTTTTTTTTTAATACCTGGTGATCATGTGTCTGATCTTAGCATAACCACAGAAATAAGTTTTGCCAAAAACATATGTAATATGAAAGGAATACTTTTCACAGAAAGGAGTGTTTCGTGTGTTTTTTGGTTTTGTTTTCTTTTTGTTTGTTTGTTTGTTTGTTTTCTTTTTGGTTTTTTTGTTTTGTTTTGTTTTGTTTTGTTTTGTTTTGTTTTTTTGGCGTAGAAGAACTGGGGTGTAAGCCAGAGGTGTGGGGGGTAGAAAGATTTACCAGAGACAGAGTGGGGAGCAGAACAGGTAGAATGACTGAAATCCAGGTGGATTGACTGAGAGCAGCAGAAGAGACTGGAGAGGTCTGCTGCACCCTATGTGGGTCAGCTCCCTGGCTGGGGATCAAACTCAGGCCATACAGGTGATAGTGCTGAGACTTAACCCCTAAGCTACCAGGAGGCCCCTGTTTCTGGCTTTCTGAACGGTATTAGGTATGTCGCTGAAGTGTTCCATGCTTAATGTTTTTCTCTGTCTTGAACATTAACCATTAGGTATATTAGCGATTAAAAAAACATTTTTGAGAGAGGAATAGAGTGCTCTTCTCAAAGTGTAACTAGAGGAATCATAATAGAATGTAAAGGATGAGAAAAACTGACAGAGGAAATTAAGCCATACTGATTAAAGGAAATCGACTAGCAATGCAGGATGCAATTTTCTGTTTCTTCATATAGTTTGTCTTTGTCACTATTGTCTCATTTGGAATATTTCTAGGTGGTCTCTCTTTTTATACTAGTAAAAATTCCACAAACAAACAAAGGCAATTCTTTGATGAACAGGATCAATGTGATTTTTAAAATATCTAATCAGAGCTTCTGTTTATAGAGAGAATGATTTACAGTTATCAGAATTTAAATCAACATTGAACTTGTTAAAGTTTTTTTTAAAGATTTATTTATTTCCTCATACAAGAGCTGGGGTGTAGGCCAGAGGTGTGTGTGGGGGGTGAG